AAAACTCAAATTTTTTTTTATATTACATAGAAAAAATCACTATCATTAATTATTAAAAAGTGAAATATGCCTATTCATGCATATATAAACGTTAAAAATATAAATAGCTATTGAATCTATATGTGTCCAAGAGTCGCACCCAAGGAATAGAGAATACGACAGAAGCAATAGAGATAGATAGAGAGAGAAGGTGTGCACAATAACAAACAATAGAATGAAATTTAGATTAGTCTTTACTGAAGAAATGGTCCCCCTGTTTATATGAGGGGAAGTTATAATGTGCATAATTATATGTTCACCCTGTTTTAATTGGGGTGTTATAGGGTAATTTAGGTATTTTATAAAAGAGCCCATGGCTCACTACGCTATCGCTTGGTCGACTGAGATTAACGGGCCTTTGGTAAAACAAAGCTTGTTCGTCTAACTAAGATGGGTTGGGGTTGTTGGTTGGCTCTTAAAGATCTTTACTTCGGTCATATTTGAATTGGTCGGCTTGATTCTACTGGTCAATTGCTGTAGTTCAATTGTTGACTATCAACAGCTAGATGAGCTTCTGTTACCAGACGGATAGCGAATCACCATAATCAGACAATAACTCACCCGTTAGCAAAGGATCCTTTGAAAGTGTTAAGAGTGTATTATGAAAAATCTCAACATCACGATGAAGAGTCTCAGAGACTCTCATAAGATGGTTGGTAATATCGAGGTTAGAGTTGGGATAATGTTATCTCTCGACTCGATATTTATTGTTATTCGGTTCAAATGGCCTGTGTCTGGTCTACTTTGAGTTCTAATCTATGGGATCTATACCGGTCAATTAAGTTCATTGATGGACTTTCAATCCTCCTTTGGTGGGCCCGCCCTTCATAGTCTTGCTTTTATTTTTCTTAGTTCGTGTGTTTTTTGGGATTCTATTGCACTAGCCCAAATTTAAAGGGGCTGGGCTGATATTTTAAAAAAAAGAAAATTTACATAAGTACCACCAAATTCTTATATTTACAAATCCAACAGCTTTTTAAAAATAAAGTGACATATATATATTAAATTTTAGATGTTAGTTATGTAAATACATAGAAATTAATTGACAGATCTCTAACCTTCCTTAAAAACTTTAGGGATAATTACATACAGATCTCTAATCTTCCTTAAACATTTTAGCGATAATTACATATAAATCATCCTAAACATTAATATTTACAAATTAACCTCCACGTGATATTTTAGAACTACCACTATCAAACTATTGAGAATTTGATAAAAATAAAAAATATTGGGTTTTTACCATAAATCTTGATATTTGAGTAAGAAATCGAAAAATGGATGAAACAAGGTGGCGGTTTTGTAAATAGCAAGTTTCAGGTAGTCGGATTTAAGAGTGATTTAAACTGAATCCGTAGCTAAATCCGCCATTAATATGCTGCCAAGCACAGCCTTAAACACCCATATACCCCTTCGCCGATTCTCCACCGTCCCCGCCGCAAACATCAGCCGGAAACCGCCGTCTCTCACCTCCCTCCTCCCTTCTAACCTTCTCCTCCTCCGCCTTCCTGCAGAAAAGCACCCACCCATTCGCCTCAAGGGCCACACAAGCCCCACCCATCGTCCCCACCGCCAAGCAATAAACCAGCTTCGCATACGATCGCCCTAATTCCATCATCTCCATCCCCTGAAACACGTTCACTACTCCCACCACCACCAACCCGTACCCCAGCAGATGATGATACGATTTCCAGTACTTACGATACCTGTGCGTGGTCGCAGGACGGAAAAACATCGCCGCCGCCTGCAAACCCCCCGCCGTCATCACTGCAAACCCTAATCCCCGATGCAGAACATAAACCCTATTCCCCATCGCAACCCCAAACCCAAATCCCACCGATCCGACAGCCACCGCCGAGATCTGAACTGCCGCGTGGATGTAGAACCAGGTCGATCCTGATCCAATGCCCGGCCATTGCCTCAAGTAGCGTGCAGCCATCGCGCCTGCGGGGATGAAGAACCCCCATGTTATTGCGTTGATTGAACCGTGCGCGGATCGGAACCAGGTTGGAAGGGGCTTAGATGAGATGTCTGCGGATGCGGAGAGGAGGTCGATGGTGGTGCGGGAGGCGAGATCGATGGGGGTGGTGGGGTGGACGGTGGGGGAATAGCCTTGGACGTAGAGGCCGCGGTTCCAGATGAGGTTAATGCGGGTGCGGTTGGGGGAAAGGTGGAGGGAGGCGGAGATGCGGACGATGGCGCCGGAGCGGACGGAGGGGGATTGGATGAGAGAGGCGGAGGGGGAGAGGAAGGGGATATAGAGG